CGGGTGGCCTGAGGGAAGCTGCTGGTGTTTTCCCGCTTGGCAGGCTTTGCTTTCTTGCTTTGCATGTGCTTGTGTAAGAATTCATCTCTCCTGCGTTACAATGGAGCTCTACAGCGACAGAGCTTCCTCTCTCTCCTCGAGCAGGGCAGCATTTCGGGGAGAGTCAAGTAATGACTGAATACTACGTTCTTTTTAAGCCCCACGGCTCTGCTGTTGTCTGTGTGTCCCCTGTGTGGAGGACCGAGGTGTTTCCATCCCATGTTTTCCTCAAATGCTCTCGCATCTGCTGGTTGCGGCTCTCCCCAAGCCCCCTGACACATCAGTTGTCTGGAAGGTTGATACAGAGGTGCTGCTAACCCTCTTCTGCTTATGCACGACAGTCTTTGTTGTCTGTTCTGCAGGGCGAGAACCAGGTTTTTTTCTCTATTTTAGTTGGTTCTGAGTGGGTCATCCACACTGCTAAATACCATGACAAAAATGAAGCAGTTTTCCCCACTTTTCCCATCTCCCTCTCTCCCATGAACTTCTGCTGATGAACTGGTTTTGTTGCTAAAATCATTGCTGAAATGCAAGTGCACGGACTGATGGAAACAAGTTTGAAGTGACTTAGGAGCCTGTAGTGATGTTGGCCTTCAGCACATGTATCTCGGTGTGCCGTTGGTTAAACCATGTATAAAACACTGCCAGCGTCCCTTTTGCACATTCCTTATAAGAAACCCTGCATTTTGTTTTATCTTGAGCTTGCCTTAGGACACCATTTCTGAGCTTCGGTTAAATTGAGTTGCTGTCAGCTGGGATCACAGAATCTTTTGAAAAGTGATTTAGAAAAGCTAATTCATCTATCATGACTTGGATGGGTTAACATAAAGCCCGGATAGCTTGGCTACTCTAGAAGCTGATTCACAGGCCGCAGTTGGCTTCAGATTTTTATTCCTGGGAAGAGTAATTTGGAAACTGTAGAATGGTTGGGCATTGCCTTGAAAGGAAGCCACTCAATAAAGGAATAAACAGTGGGAAAAAAGTTATACGTTTTATAAATGGTATGCCTTTTTCAGGTATGATTTTGACCCCCACATGAAATAAATGGATAAATAGCATGATTTGCCAGCAGTAGCCTGTAATACTAGCCACAAAAATCATCAGAGAAGGTAGAAGTGGGCCAAACTTTTTTTCCCCATAATTTATAGTTCAGGTGCTGTTGATTCAAGTGAAGAAAGCTAATGAATGTGGATACTTTGAGATATTCTTAAAACTGCACTGATAACTATTAAAAATTTATATTCCTAGAGTTCATGTAATGATGTCAGGTTCCCAGGCTACTGTACAAGCTGTGTTGCGGTTTTAACTCAAACGATGCAATATTAATCTTACGTGACAGAACCTTCCTGGCTTAGGGCTGCGAGACAAGGTCTGTCCTGAAACCTAACACAGGGCTTCAGAAATCTAACATTGTAGGACCAAGTTTAATATTCAGTTGGAGCTAATTTTGTTTATGAACCAAAGGTGTTGCCACCCTTAAAAGTATGACTGCTCTGAGGTAGTCAGGTACCAGAATTGGAGCCTTCATTTAACCAAATGGTACTTCAGCTTTTTAACAGCAGAAATTCTCACTTCTGCACAGTCGGCTGAACTCGGAAAAAGATTACTTTTTTTGGTGGAACGACTTAAAATGTCACTTATACATAGGCTTATTGCGCCCACTTGTGGAGGACATCAAAACTACAGAATCTGAGATGGATGAGTCTTCCTCTCTTGCTTTCACCTATTTTAGATTTTAGTGATAATTCAAATCACTGAAGCTGCATAATTTTTTTGTTACTTTGTCACAAGCCACCCTTGAATCTGGCCACTGCGGAAGAGAGCAAGCTGTGTTGAAAAGAGCTTCTGCCACGAGATATGGTTCCAGTACGTATTTGTAACTGATACAGGTAAGTGAATACTGTTGTACAAACCGGTACTGCTTGTGGGATTTAGGGTACAATTGTGGTGATCCGTGTTTGAGAAAGATATGCTGATACTTGCAGGCTTACGTAGAAGGATTAATATGAACAATGGAACAGGATTTCCAGGAAGGGGAGACTATAAGAGGAAGACTTATTCAGCCTGATAAAAAAGAAAGAAAAGTGCAGCGAGGATATGGTTCACTGTCTACTCTTTTGTTATACCTGAAGGGGCTACAAGGAAGCTGGGGGAGGACTTTTTTACAGAAAGATTCCTGTTGACTTTATGGAAAGTTTATGACCATCAATGCTGAGAATGATAGAGGTCATCCCTCCTGGTGTTTGGACTGGTTTGCTTCTTTTCACTCTCTTTTTGCTTATGATTCATGCTGATTTTCAGGACTTCAGTATTACAACTTAATATCGGAGATGAGCTTCCTTGGAACAAGAGTTTCTGAAAGTGCCCCGTTGCTCTGCAGCGAGAGAGGGGACTAATGGTGAATCTCTCATGCGTTGTGTTTTCCTGCTGCCTGGTGTGCAGCTAGAACTGCTGTGTCCAGCTAGAACTGGAGAGAGTGGACAATCTCATCTTCCTGGGGAGCATTAGAATGCCGTCTGAGGCACTGAGCTGCAGGTGCAGGGCCTTGGTTTGGGCGTATATTCAGCTGCCTTTTGCATGGTGTTAGCCACATCATTCCCAGTGGGAGAGACTGACATGCCTTGATCATGCTGACTTCACGTGCCACGTAGACTTGCAGCACATGGGTGACTTTTCAACCTTGTTTTTTGGGGGAAGGATTAAGTCATTTACGTGTTTACTCAATAGCAGACAATTTTTACCACTGAAGTCCTTTTGGTAGAAGGTTTTTTCTCAGTTTCACAGTGGAGTGCATAGTCCTGTTGTGGTAACGCTGTGTTGACAGAGCACTTCACCCAGATCAGAATGAAACATTTCACTGAAATGGATCAATTTTATGTCTCTGTGTGCCTGACCTTTGAGTAGTTAAGCAGAGAGTCTTCAGTCAGCGTAGCTACTCGGCACTGGTAGGACTATTACAACCATTATAAGTCAAGGATTTGACCCAAACTTCCGCTTCTCCTTTGAATTATTTGACTCTGAAAACCATCGTGTGGAGCTAGAAATGTGAACTGCATTTGCCATCACGTGTCCCTCACTTTCTCCAGTGAGTTTTATTTGTTAATTTATATGCAGAAATGAACCTTTTAACTTTACTCTGAAAGCAAATATTGACTCTGTTTCATAGTAATCTGGACTTTGCGCAGGAGGGGGAAAGCCTGACATTCCTGAAAATGGCAGCTGAGACATCCACAGAAGTTCCAAAAACTGCTAGACAATTCGTCCTTAAAGAAGAGGTATGACATGCTTGGGTTTGGCAGGTTTTATTGTTAAATAACAACTATTTGAGACTGATGGGAATGTTTGAGAGTGCAGAGTAAGAAAGGCTATGGATGCGGTATGTTTGTAAAATCTGGTTTTAAAATATTCTAGATAAAACAATTCTTCGTGATGGTCAGACAGCCTAAAAAGGTGGCACTTCCCCTTGTTGAAATAATCATACAAGTCATCAGTGGGGAGAGAGAAATCTGGAGTGTTGCGTTATTTTAAGCTGCTGTTTTTCTCTGGATTTTGCAGCTGGTTTTTCTATTGTCTGTTCGGGCTGGTTTCCATGTTCAGAAATAATGCAGTTACCTCTGAGACTGCACAGATCGGTGGATCATGAAACTCAGTTTTGTTTTCCATTCCTTTAACGTGATGATCCACTAAGAGCTGCCTTAACATTTAGGATTGTACCTTCTTTGATGCTTTCTGAAAGGGTTTCAATTTAGATAATTGCTGTTCTAAAGACATGAGTAAGGAGGTAGTAAGATTTTTTTTTTTTTAATATTGTGCTCACATCTGTACAGAATGAGAAAATAATCAAGTCCTGAGGGAGGAATTTGGAGGTACTTCTGGGTGCTTATTAGGAGCACTTTCACCCTAATTTAAACTGCCTGTATTGTTTCTGTTCTCTTTCAAGTGAATTCTTAACAGTTAATTTTTGGTGCTAAAGGCAGGTTTGGCAACAGTCACGCTGTTGTTGTAACACAGATGTAGTTTCTTCTATCCAGTGTTCTTTCCTTGGAATGAATGGTCTTCTCATTTCTTTAGGTTTCAAGGTACAAAGCTTTTACAGGAAAGGAGAGACGCACATTGTTGGGATCTATTTATGGCTTTTACCCTTGGCTATTTTTTGTAATACGAATATTTCTCAAGCATGAAGGGTTTCGTTTTTGTAATTTTTTTGGGTTTCTATTAAGACCTGTGTTTTTGCAGGTACCGTTTTCATTATGTCTTTTTTTTTTTTCCATAATGCCTCTGAGTTCTTCTCCTTTGGAATATTGTACTCTCTGGTGTTGTTGGAAGCTTGTAATTGGATCTTCCATATTTTAAGCTATTTAGTTTTTTCAGTCATTTTGGTGGGATTAGTACAGGAAAGTATTTACTGTTTTTCTGCCAGTAGCCATTATATTAAAAGTGGTTCTGTAACTCTTCAGTCACTACGTAGTCTGATGTTGGAACATCTTCTTCTCTGATAGTAGCGGCTGATCTTATTTTCTTCTTCCTGTTTGTGGGAACCCACAGTCAGGTGGTGATAAGCAAAAGCAGATGATATTCGCCCAGCAAAGATAAGCAATAAAAATAACTTCTTCTAAAAGTGAGGATGGTAAGTGCAACACATCTTGCGAAGTGTCCTTAGGCCCTCGGTAGGGGATTTAGCAAAGCACAGGTTACGCTTCTGGGACAGCTTCTGCGGGTCCTGATTGTGCACCCAGCAAGGTGGGTGAACAACATTCTCTTTTTCTTCTGGGGAAACCTGGCAACTTTCAGTTGCCTCTCCTGTAGGCTGTCAGCAGCAAGTGTTCCACCGAACTTCAGAGGATTGTGGGACGCTGCCATTGCAAATATGCTACTTGTCCTATAGCACTTTTTAATTATTGTTGCATGGCTGTGGAGGCCAAAAGCTGTACTTATGAATAGATGATTAAAACCAAGACACTGTTTAACGTTGTTTGTTTTGGACACATAAAACCTACTTGGTTTGGGGGGGGGGGAGGTTTGTCTTTTTGGAGCTTGGATAGGTCTAATTTCTTACAGACTAGGGATGTCTTTTCCCTCTCAGATTCCTGGGATGGGGATCTGATTTCAGCCATTTTCTCCTTTCTGCCTAGCAGACGATGACTTGGTGACAGAGGTAATGATCTGTCAGTTCTGTCAAATGCTGCAGCAGTATGGGACCACGATCAATAATCTAGTCCTTTGTGTTCTCTGCAGTGTTTAAAAAAATTAATTTGCAGAAAACATTTGGCTGCATTTACGTAACTGAAATATATGTATTCCTCTTCTTGGACAACAAATGGGACTTAATTTTCATCTATTCCTCTCTTGGATCTTCCCGTACTCTAGTTCTGCAGTGATTTAGGAGTGAATGTGAAGCTATTTAAAATATATTTGAATGCTTCCAAACGGAATTACTTCTTGTACCTATAATGACCATAATAGACTTCATCTCCTTTCCTGCTGTTTCTGGGGCAATGAAGCCATTAGAAAGCTCCTGAGAACATGTAGTTCTCCTTTTCCCATTCCTGTTACGTGGTAATATTATACTTTCCAAAATAAATGCACAACTCCTACATGTAAAATATGTGCAGCTGCATTTACAGCCACAGCAGTGCTATTCTTTGAATTGCATATCAAAATAATTGTTCTGAAGAACACATTTTAAGAATTCCATGAGTTCATCCAGCTCAGTAATAATTTACTGGACACCTGAATCACTTCTGATTTGCCTTCTGCCTCCAGCTGATGCTGTGCTGTGCGTCTGTACTCTAGTTACAGCTGCATCATGTGCTACATTGCATTTCTCTCTGTTCTTTTTTCAGTTGGTGAATCTCTCAGGTCGCTACGTGGCCACACAAGCCCTGTTTGCTCCTTGTCCTTCACTAGAGGATTGCAGTGTGCCAGTCACATGACTGACCTCTCAGACTTCATCCTTTGCTACCACTTAATGTTGTGGGTTTTTTTTTTTCCCCAAATCCTTTGCTACTACTTAAATTTGTGGTTTTGTTTTTTTTTTTTCCCAGATCCTCTTTTTCCCTTGCTTATGCTTGCTCCATTGCTGTCAGCAGTGTGTCTCATTAGACAGCAGGAAATGATTTGTTCCTCTTACAGGTTACTTCTCATTTCTGTGGTCAGACCTATGGCCAACTTGATGCAGACTTCTTGTCTGCCTATACATTTAGCACAGCTTAAAATACAGGTTACATTAAAAGAAGTAAACGGCTAGGCTAATACCAAGGGGTTTTTTGCTTTCAAAGGAATTACATAAAAGATGAGGAAACATCCCAGGGCAAATAAACTCATTTAGCTCAGAAAAGACATTTTCTAATAATGTTAATGCCAAGCACTCACTCAGCAGCTCTCAGAAATCCTAAAAGGGCAGGTGTGTATCACTGCTCGCAGGTGCAGAAAACAGTGGTCACACAAGGCCATGGTCTGAGATCCTGGCAAGACAAGTTTCAGAATAGTTTGGGTTTCAGTCTTGTGTGCTTAGCTATGAGCCCACGCTCTCTGATAAGTGGGCACCCATAATCACCAGCGTGGCTGAAGTCTGTGCAGACCAGTCACATGTTGTCCTTCCTCAGCTGAAACATGACCTTTGCAAAACCTCATCTAAAAAGATGAGGACTTTCTAGGATGTAAAATCCCATTGAATTCATTGAAACTTGGTTGTAAAAGTCACGTAAGACTAAGTTACTGGGCTTATTTTCTAATCCTGTTCAAGAATTCGGAGTAAATGTGGGGGTTTTTTTTCTGTAATAGCTACAGGAATGTAGTTGCATGTTCCTGCATGTATTCTGATGCTTAGATTTCGTCTTCAAAAGAATCCAGAATTAGTTGTGTTGTTTCTCCCCTTAGCCCCCATATATCTTTGGGATTAATCTTACAATGTATTTAACAAAGAATTCTTTATTTTAGGTAATTGTAGAAAGAAAATGGTTGAAGCTTGAAGAAACAACTTACACTGATCCCTTTGGTAAAACCAGGTAACTGCCTCTCTGGCATTTCAGACTGCTTTAACATCCCCAACTGTACGGACTAGCCCCAGGCTAGAGACTATGAGCATTACGAACCTCTTACTCAGCAGATGAGCTCTGTTCATTGTGCAATTCTTTCATAGTTTGTACTGTTCAGAGAAGAAAATCTTACTCTGGCAGATGTGGTAGCACGAGGGATTGCATTTGGCTCCTAAACCCTTTGGGGCACATTGGACCCTGGCTTACCTTGGATCTCCCATCCCTTGTAGAGACGCTGTGCAGAGGCGGGTTCGAGCTGTGCAACTCGACTGTGATGATCAGAGAGCCCAGCCTGTGGCTTTTCTGGTTCCTCATTAAGGGCTCCTTTCTCCCTGCTGATGGCGTGGATCTTGCATGCCACTGACAAGTTACTGTCCTCTTGTATGTTACCACGCCTGGGCATTTTGTGTCTATGCTGACATGTGGCTTCACTTGCCTCCCTTAACGTATTACATTCTGTACTGATTGCTGTCCCTAGAGCCTCCCAGCGAAGTGTCCTTGGGAAAAATAGCAAAGATGGGAGCTTTTGTGAAAGGATTTGTATTGCTGGTGGATTTTGTGGTTTTACTCATCCTATTGCTTATTTTGAGAGAGTAGCTTTGGTCATTCTTGCCTGTGTGCTCCTCGTGTGCCCAAGCACCTGAGCTGGGAGTTCTCAGAAGCTTGCACTGTAAGCCTCACACAAAAGCAAGATAAAAGAGCATGCACGTCGTCTTGTTACAGAACTGTCTTTCAAGATCCAACATGTTTTATATAAAAATTGCTTTATTTTGCACTCCTCCAGAATCACTTTTATAAGACCTGTGTGTTCCGTGACAACTATTTATGTCTTCCTTTTATTTTTAGGGATCGTAAACAGTCATTAATTAACTATTTTCTCTCTCCCTCCTTTAAGCAGGCAAGAGACAATTATACCGCAGACATTTCATAGTGCCAGTACATGAGAGAGCTTGCCCAAGGGCAGCTGCTTTCCCACGGGGCCTCACTGTGTGATGGCATACTTTGCTTTTAAATGACAGGAGCAAGAGAAGACAACTTACAAATAAAATGGATGTTGCTCCTTTTAATGTATTCATTTGTTCTTTTTGTTAAACAGAACTTGGGAAACTGTAAAACGTACTGGCAACAAAAAGGGGGTTTCAGCTGATGGTAAGACGTCTTGTTTGCATTTTTTCCTGTGGAAGTTCTGATAAACTCACAGTTCAGACTTACAGCCGAGCCGTTTCTGAACGAGTGAGGATGTGAATTAAAGAGCTCAGCAGAGCTTGCTATGCAAGCCTGTGCTAATGAAATGCTGACTTAAGGGCTGAAGACTCCAAACCTTACCGTTAGGAGTGTTTTCCCAGCATCATTGCATTCCCTTTGGAACAATGGAGTAATTTCAGAGATGTGATGGATGCCCTGATACAGAGTAGCTCACAGACTGGTGAATTGGGTCTGCTGTCAGGGGAGAGGGATACGGCTCTCTTGGGCAAAAGAGGGGCATGATATAGCCGTGAAAGGAGTGTGTGTGGGCTTCTCTGTGGGCGAGAGAGCCCTTCCCTAGGTACTGGCGTGCTAAGGCTCGGTCTTGCTTAGTATGTGTGCCTCTTGTTTGCTGGGGTACTTTGAAGATCCCATTGTAGGCTTTTTCTCTCTTACTACACATGATACAAGGAGCTGAAGTTCATAGTTCAGGAGTCTGCAGCAGGCATCTAAATGTTTTTTATTTTAATGCTTGGAGTAACTGTCCTTGGGCTCCTTTCCAGGCCTAGCACTAAATACTTGCTTTCTGCTGTTCCGACATACTGTGTACTCATGTCTTCCATCACTGCTCGTAGGTGTAGCAGTGATCGCGGTACTACAGAGAACTCTCCACTATGACTGCATCGTCCTAGTGAAACAGTTCAGGCCTCCAATTAACAGCTATTGCTTGGAATTTCCTGCAGGTAAGTGCCTGAAACATTAAGATGAGTCATGGGAAGACGAGCGTTAAGTTTGTTTATATGTGATTGGAGCGTCAGGTCTAACAAAGCAGCTCTAATTGGAAAACCATGGTGGTCTCTAGCTCAGTGTGCTACTCAAAAACAGTGTGGTAATGAATGCAAAATTAACATTGCCCATTTTAGCAGGGCGGAGGCATTTTGCACCATACTCTGGTAGCAGAATATTGCATTTCCCTCCACTTCTCCTTTCTCTAAGAGTCAAAGCATTTGGCTCCTTTCCCTCCTGAGAATATTAATGCCACCTTCTGGGAAGGCAGCATGCTTCCGTAGTAATCCGTTGAAGACACGGGCAGCAGCATGATGAATCCTGGCACTGGAATCCTTCCTGACACCTCAGTTTGTCCCTCTGTAAAAAATAGGGTAGTGGGGGTGTTTCACCTCTTCCGTAAAGCTGGAATCTCGGGATGGGCATTGTGCTTAGGTGCTAACTTCTTAATCGTTCTGGTGTACTACTTCTCTCACAGGCCTCATTGAGGAAAATGAGACTGCAGAAAGCGCCGCACTGCGAGAGCTGGAGGAAGAAACTGGGTACAAGGGGGAAGTTGTGGAATGTACTCCAGGTCTTTGCCTTTTTTTTTTAATTTTTCCCACCCAAAGCTAATTCTGTGTCTTACGCATGCGAAATGCTGTAAACCAGAGGAAAAAGCTTGCAGAAAAGTCTGTGTGGATGAGCAGAGTAGCATGCCGTGGCTTGCCGTGACGAGTCACTTGCTGAACTCCTGTTTAACATACACGACTAAAGTAACAGTTTGATGTCCATAGAGGAAAACGTTGTTGTTAATTAAGTTCCATTACACAAAACCCAATTATTCAAGCTGTGATTTGGCATTTTAGTACAAAGGTCTAAATTGCTGGACTTAATGTGCAACATCCATGAACTTAGGTAGAAAAAACAGCTGCAGCTTACATACCATTTCAGATAAATGTCATCCCAGCTGAGACCTGGCTCTTGGTTATCAGGTACAACTGCACGCCAGGGACTGAGGTGGAGACAGGTGATGGCAAAATTAAGGGTTTAATAGGCTGAGGAAGTCTCTGAGGGATTTATAGGTTACAGTTTAATCTTCAGTCTGTGGAACAGAAAGCAAACTGAGCTGCTGAGAACAAGTCCTAGAAGGAATCTGTACACGAGCCGAGTTGGAGAAACATTACTTTTAGGAACACATGAAAACAAACTTCTCACAACTCTCACAGCATGAACGTATGCCAAATGTATGTTCTGCTATTGTACTGGATATGCTTCTGTGAAAGCTTTTGTTAGAATGTCAAGGTGCCTGACTGCTGCTTTTGGAAAACTAACCTCTACACGTGCCTGTTGGCAGCTCTCTGCTTGGACCCAGGTTTGTCAAACAGCACAACACACATCGTGAGCGTCACCATTAACGGAGATGAGGCCGAGAATACAAGACCTAAGCAAAAACTCGGTGAGTTTTGTACCATTTATCTGAAAATTCTGAGAAGGTAACAATGGCTTTAAAAGCACTACCCCTACCACTGCATCCCTTCTGTCCCAGCTGATGCAGGTGCTGCACGTCCCTCAGACATATCCTGCAGGATGTGAAGTGTTGGCACACCCAGACTGAGAAACGTAGGTGCCAAACTTCAGTGAGGGCCATAAGCACTTGGGAGCCTGGATATTCCTCTTAGCTGTACCTTGACCCTGGAAGTAACTACAGCATCACTCACCATCAGTCAGCTACCAAAGTGCTTTTTAGTTGTAAACTCAAGTGTATTTCACAATTCTTAACATACTGCTTTTTTTTTTTTCCCCTTGCAGATGACGGAGGTACGTTCCGTAGCTGTGCTCACAGCGACAGTAAGGAGTGATCCTCGCGTGGCAAGGCTGACTTAGAAAATGTCAGTTAAAACTGGTTTTTATTTTGGGCTTGGTTCATCTCCTGACCCTAACCAGACATGCATGAGGTTGGCTTTGGCCTAGACCTGAACATTCCCGTGGGACATGATTGCACCAGTTGTCTTCAAGGGTTGCCCCTATCGCACCAGGCTCTCAGGAAATCCAAATTGCTGAATCCACAACGGCCGTGGATCAGGCCCCAGAGAGAACCAGTTCAGGTGGACAGGGGAGGTGTAAGTCAACACAAATTCATCAAGAACAAACATGGTCTTTGTGCTGTTTTGGCCTCCTAATGCATCTACAACCCATTCCTGTACCAGTACGAGCCAAAGTCCCCTTCAACAGCATGTTCTCCATTCTCGGGAGGGAGACGGTCTCCTTTAAGGCTTCTTACCCTCCATTGCTGTCAGCCACACTATGTTTTTCCCAGTTCTTTTCTAGTTTCATTCTCCCAAACCTGTTTTTAATGCCCCCAGTAGCTGCCTTCCCCCAGTTAATCACCCGTTTTCTGGTGTGTGAAGGCTGACAGCTTTTGGGTGGTGACCGGCATTTAGCCACGTTGCTTCCCCTTCCAAGATGTAAGGCACAGGGCACTGAGGGAAACTTCCTCTGCTGGTCACTAAATTACAGGTGAATAATTTTTTTTTCTCTTCTCCCCTAGAATTTGTGGAAGTTATTTCACTTCCAAAGAATGACCTACTGCAAAGAATCGATGGTAAGGGCTGTCTGACACATGGTGCTGGTTCAGTCGGGACAAGAGTTAGTTCTTCTCACGGTAGCTGGGGTGAGGCTGTGTTTTGGAGTTGTGCTGAGGATACTGACAATACACTAATGGCTTTAGTTGTTGCCAAACAGTGTTTATGGTAAGTGAAGGAAACTTTCAGTTTCTCTCATTGCACCTGTGTTCCAGCTTCTCCACAAGAAGCTGGGAGGAGACACAGCCAGGACAGCTGACTCAGACTGACCAGAGGGACATTTCATGCCACAGGGCACATCCTGTTCAGTATAAGTTGGGGGGAGCAGGCCGGGGGGCTTGCCCTTGGGCTCTGGCCCTCACTGCTCAGGGACTGGCTGGGCATCAGCTGCCAAGTGGCGAGCAGTTGTCTCATTGGGGGGTTTTTCCCATTATTTTCATTATGTATTATTACTAGTAGTAGTATTTTCACTATATATTAGTAGTAGTATGGTTTGTATGATTAGTATGGTCAGTATTATCAGTATCATTATTTAATTATTAAAGTGTTCTTGTCTCAACTGCGGCATGCATTCAGTGCACTGATGTGAGCTTCAGGAAACCCTTAGCTTCTCTCCTTACAGCTCCTCGTGGCATTTCTCATCCTGCCATACTGTCTATTAAACTAAAAGCTGTGAGAGACGTGGCCAGGTGACAGAGTTAGCGATAGGAATTTGGATCTGGAACGCTACCCATCTTCCTTGTAGTGAAGGACTTGTACTTAGGCAGAGAAGTTCCAGCGGCATCTCATACTTGGTTTTCCTTGCAGAACTCATAGCAGAAGAACACATTGCAGTGGACGCCAGGGTTTATACTTACGCCCTGGCCCTGAAGCGTGCAGCAGAGAAACCGCTCCAAGTTCCTTTTATGAAGTTCTAAAACTAGATGATGAGAAATCTAGTGGAAAACTGCCCTGTTCGGATGGCTTAGATGTCTAGCTCTTGTTGCAATAAGGGGCCTTTGTTTACTTGTAGAGCAAAAACAAAGCATTTGTAGGTATGATTCTGATGTTTTTATCTGGAATTATGTAACTGACAGAAAGCATTTCTTCTAACTGCTCAGTCTATCAAGCCTTGACAGAATAATCGCAATAAAAACACTGCTGATTTTCAGAATGGCTCATCTCTCGCTATATTCAGCACGGCACCTAATGTTTCCGGGTAACAAAGACGCTCTGGTACCTGCAGTTGGTGTTGTAACTCCTCTCGCATGCAACCAGGGTTACTGCAGGTCGTTTTCTGCCATCGGAGCGGCGGCAGCTGCCCAGGGACGTGGTGTGCCTGCTCTGGCTGCGGTGTCTGAAACTGCACTTCCAGGGGCTTCCTCTCATGATTTAGACCGGAACATGCCGCTTCCTTCTCCCAGCCCTAACTAAACTGTCTGGACAGAAAAAGTTGGTTTGTTTGATCTGAGAAAATAATGCCAGCGATGATGATGGCAGCACAAACTGCCCGCTGGTGCAAAGCAAAGGGTGGGAGTCCGGGGTACACGAGGTACCCAGCCTTGCGGTTCTCCCTCTCCCTGGCACACACCCACACCCCTCAGCTCAGTCTGATCGCTTCAAAGGAAATCTTTTGCCAAACCACCCATATCTGCGCAGGGTCGACTGCTGCTAATTAAACAACTTAAAGGTTGGGATCGAAGGGTCATCATAAACATGCTAATACTGAAGACTTGCCCCTGAAATAAATTCGGCTGAGCATGCGTAATTAGAAGATTTGCCTTGCTCAGAAACGAAGCATAAAAGGTTTTCTTACTGCCACAAAAAAACGCAGTTTCTGCCAAGTGTGAGAGAAGACAGAAGAGATCAAAGTGGGAAATCAAAAGGGAAAAGTCATCGATCACAGCTGAGCAGAAGAGCTCAATAGTTTTGAGGAGAGGAATCTCCAGGGTGGTGTTTTAATTAAGGCTGCTAACAACTGATGAGAATTATATTCTAGAAAGGACAGAGAGGAAAAAGGGAGCTTTCCAGACCTGCCCCACTAACAAAGCACGTGAGAAATGATCAAAAACTGACGTGAATTACACCTCGCGCAGAGAAGACAAGGGAGAGAGCTTAATTAAATAAGTTTATTGTCTAACGTTTACAGTTGTTACACCGTCGCTCCAAAGCGCGACAACGTCACTAAGTTTTCTGCAGGAACATCTCGTTCCTCCCCCTTTCCTTCTAAGAACACTGCTGCAGGGACCGGGCCTTGTTCTTCAGACTCACAGAAGCAAAGAGGACGTGAAGTTTCAGTGGCACGGTTTTCACGAGAACATGTTCAAACAAAACTACTGGGCTGCCTCGCCAGCACGACAGCGGCAGCCCTGCCGTCACGCAGGAGGCCCAGGGCAGGAAGCAGCGACGCCCCGGGGCCCTGCGAGGCAGCAAATCCACCACAACCAGCTCACAGGTGAGATGAGTATCAGTCGCCGGTAAAATGTTTGCCTGGTCACCCTTAGTGCAGAGAAGGGCGCCCAGGTGGAGACACCGCAAAGGAATACGGAGCGCTGAGTTCAATGATGGGGAAAGTTAAAAAAGTATAGAAAATTAACGTAAAATACAGGCTACAATTGAATTTTGTCAGCACTGGCACGTGGCAATCTCAACTCAGACTTGACTGTAGTTTTTCCTATGAAGGACAGGGAAATCAATTTAATGCTGTGTGCAAAAACGTTTACCGCTCTCAAACTGATACGTTTTACCATCTCACTGTAGTGTTCCGACAGCAAGGTGGATGAATTGGTTTCCAGCATTACAGGCAACACTAGATAATACTGAAACGAGATCATGTAAACTTTACTCTTAAGGCAGCCGGTACTGACGCTGCACACAGGCATTGCTCGAGGCCCATCACAGCAGTGGGACACGCAGCACTTGAAAACAAGTAAAAAGAAAAGAGCATTGTTGGACTAAATGACGCATGTTGTCAAAATACTTTCCCTTTCACGCGAACCATGAAATATTTGGACATCTAAAAAAATAATGCACCTACTCCTCCCACTTCAGCCTGTTCTTTTACAAATATTTCAAAATACTGATAAATAATAGTGACGGCAAGCAGAATGCCAGTGCCGGACCCAATGGCTCCTAGGAAGTCAGCCAGTACTGAAAGGGCACCAATGCACAAACCACCGAACGCAGCCGCTGTGGGGATGTACCTGTACCAATGGAAAAAGGAGGAGGACATCATCGTGACTTTTCATCCGAGGATTCCAACAAGACATCTACGACTAAAACCACCGACTCGAACCAGCATTGCAAACAGAACTCTGCCAGCACCTCTTCCTGTTTCTGTATTGGCACAGAGTAGAAACTCGAAGTATTCATCGATCGGAAAGCTGCGGGAGCCATGGAATGCTGGCAGAGCTTTCCCATTACAAGTGTAACAGTTTGATGTCATAGAATCATGGAATCGTTTGGGTTGGAAGGGACCTTAAAGATCATCCAGTTCCAACCCCCCTGCCATGGGCAGGGACACCTTCCACTAGACCAGGTTGCTCCAAGCCTCATCCAGCCTGGCCTTGAACACTTCCAGGGATGGGGCATCCACAGCTTCTCTGGGCAACCTGTCCCAGTGCCTCACCACCCTCTCCAGGAAGAACTTCTTCCTGATATCCAATCTAAACCTCCCCACTTTCAATTTAACCCCGTTCCCCCTTGTCCTGTCACTACAGGCCCTGGTAAAAAGTCCCCCCCAGCTTCCTTGTAGCCCCTTCAGGTACTGGAAGGGGCTATAAGGTCTCCCCGGAGCCTTCTCTTCTCCAGGCTGAACAAGGCCAACTCTCTCAGCCTGTCCCCATAGCAGAGGGGCTCCAGCCCTCGGAGCATCTTTGTGGCCTCCTCTGGACTCGAGGAGTCTGTACGTTCTATGTAACCTCCACAGGACCAAGAATAACTGCTTTGATTTAAATATGCAGGGGTAAATCTACCTTTCCACACAGCTCTCGTGGTGTCACCCTAGCTCAGTAATGGTAAATTAAACACCCGTAAAGATCAAGGTATCTTCCTTTTACAAACATGGAAGAGATTCAACCCAAATTCCCTCATCATACTGCTGCAACAAAAGACACTACAGGTTAATCTCCTACTTCCCACTACAAACACCTTCTGCCTTACTGGGAAAGGCAGCAGTGGAATGGGAACAACCTTGGCATTTGCAGTGGAAACGGGTCTCGGCTTTTTCCAGGAATGTGTGCACTAGCTGACCCCTTCCCAGCACTCCCACCCACGCAGCACAGCAGCACGGCTGGAAGCCAGCCTCTCCTCACCTGTTAAGCTCGTGAACCATGGAAGTGTCCCTGTGGCCTCTCATCACCATTTGCTGCTCTTTGAGTTGCTTGGCGACCTGCAAAAACCGTAACGTTACGAAACCACCTGGTGTTTAGGCAGAGGAGTGCGCGAGGAGTTGGGAAGCAGACAGCGTGAAATTAGAGGCAGTGGTGGAAAACACCTCGCCACCTTTATCAGAACACCTACATCTTTCGCCGAGGAGCCAGACACCTCAATCCACGTCTTTGAGAAGAAGGCGCAGGATCCCAGCATAAATATTATATACACTATTACATGGACGGGATCCTCAAATATTGCACCCATGGATTCCGGAGGGGACAGGTAGTAGCACAGGCCACCAACAGGGTAAGAGCGAGCAGGACCACCGCCACTGACATCCTATGGGAAGGGGAGAAAAAGGCAGTTAGTTGTTTCTCACGAATCTCTCGCATTCCTATCCCGTACTTCCAGAGGAATCCCAGTTCAGTGTTAAAAACTGCTTTCATACACGTTTACAGGTAGGTATTTCAGTTTTCTGGGGGTTGCACAGCAGCATTCCACAATGAAGTAACGCGCGCGGATCGTTTCATGCAGTAAAAGCGGTACGGGACTTACTGCCCACTGGCCCAGTAAGTTCACCAGGAAGTTGCCACTGAACCGAACCGACAGCATCTGGGAAATGACATAGAGGTTCGAAACCAAGGCGGACTGCAGAATGATGGGGATGTTGGAGGTGTAGAAGAGCTTGATGGGATAGCTACTGTACTGTCCACGGTATCGTGCAGACTTGATCGGTAAATCCACACGAAATCCCTGCGGGGAAGAAGACAAGTGCAGCAGTTTATTTCCGAGGCCGCGGGCGGGCCCAGCACACCTACAGCTGGTCCGGGCAGTGCAGTTCTTGCTAGACACGGAGCGCAAGGCCTGAGGGAGTCAAACGCAAAGGCTTTCTGCTACAGTCTGCGTGACGAATTGTGAGGATTTGTAATGTCACTGCTTGGCTGCACGACATTCTTCTCACACAAACTTCTCCCCTCTGCTCAGTGAAACTCTGTGAAAGCTTCACAGAGCAGGGTTTGAGAGAAGCCCTTAATGGCTTTTAACTGAACGAGCCAGTTAACAGCAGGCTTGTGCGTCGTAAGCCCAGCCTTCTGTTTTCTGGGCCAGGCTCCCATCTCAGCAGACACAAGATTGGTTTTGGGTTTGTTTTTTTTGTCAGCATGCTGCCTCAACAGCTCAAAAAAGCAAATAATCACATTTTATACACACACACACAGAAAAAGGAAAAAAATCACCATATTTATCTCCTTAATGTCCATTTTAGTGAATACTTCTATTTAAAACCAAATACTAGCTAAGTGTTTCAGTAAAATTAGGGAAAACCCAGGAAGTGATGATTTAATTAGATGGTAGTTTCCCGGAGCAAATCGGTAGCCTGCACACCCTGCAGACACAAGGTTCTGTAGCTCTGCCCAAAGGTATTCCATGAAGTCAACTATGGATAGCAAGTGTATTATTTGTGTGATACAGCCACCGCTGTTCCAGAATCCATTTTTAGTAAAAAACAGTGTTTAATGGATCACAGAAGGGTTCGGGTTGGAAAGGACCTTAAAGATCATCCAGTTCCAACCCCCCTGCCATGGGCAGGGACACCTTCCACTAGACCAGGTTGCTCCAAGCCTCATCCAGCCTGGCCTTGAACACTTCCAGGAATGGAGCATCCACAGCTTCTCTGGGCAACCTGTTCCAGTGCCTCCCCACCCACTCCGGGAAGAACTTCTTCCTGATGTCCAGTGTGAACGTGGGACTCCACCACTGCCTGGGCACACGTGCGCCTGGCTGTACGATTTAACGGCTGCACTGCCACCGAGGTGTGTTACTGAAATAAACCCATTTTTCGCTCCCAGCTAAGATATCCAGCTGCTCAAGTTTAACTTCTGCTTCTCCCCCAGTGACTGCAGAGCCTTGGGCTCACGCACTCTACCTCTGCAGTTGCACAGCTACTGTGAGGAATTTCTCATTTTACCTGAAAATATATGACAACGGCAAATACAAATACTGTAGCAATCAGATTCATGAGATTGGGCAAATTCTGCCGGTAAAAAGCCTCCCGCAAAGCCCGGACTTTGTCAGTTCGTGTAGCCAGAAGATGAAATAATGCAATCACAGCCCCCTCAAACTCTGTTCCTGCAGGAAGCAAAAAAGCAAAGGGAATTTTAGATTGTACATTAAAAACATTTAAAAAAACCAGTATCTTCTTTCTGAAAAATTTAAAATTACACATATAAAATCAGACCCAATAGGACATAAATCCTCTTACAACAAATATAGCACAATACAGGGTTCTGCTTGAGCTTACAGAATGTAGAATGATCTACTGAACATTATTCCTGGTTAAAAAAACCCCAGACACCAAGTCACATACATGAAGAATACTCTTTTCTGGGGGCAGGAGAATGATTGGAAGGAAGAAATAATGAATGAGGTGAAAAATAGCTTTAGTAAAGCAGTAAAAAAAAAATGCAACGGACAGAACTACTGGGAATCAGGTGACAACAAAAGCAAACTAAAGAGGTGGCTCGGGATTCCAAACATACGCATCATACTAGTCAACTTCTTGATGCCAAGAGGCCGTACCTTCACCTGCTATTCCCAAGGGCTCAGGACAACCAGTCAGAGACCGGCCAAGGAATGAGGAGACGGCAGTCCCTGAACAACTGACCCGCTTAAAGTAACTTGGAGGCTCCAGCTGTAAAAGTTTCCTACAGCCACAAACAACTCTGAACATGCAGAATTTCTTATCTTTTCTATTTCTATGGACTAAAGGATGCTAAACCAAGACTATTCCGGTTTGGAAACCCAAAACTCTTCAGTCAAGGGCCTTCAGGTCCCATTCTAACTACTGCAATTCAAATCAGCAAAAGCCAGACTGTAGGTTATTCATCTTCACCTGCATCAGCCAACACTTTCATCTTCCGTGTCAACCAAGCTCAGGAGCTAACGGGCACACGTTAAACCAGTTCCTGTAACGCCCACCCGACCAACATCTGACAGTCTGCAGAGGATACACCACCGACAGAGGCGATAACGAATCGTCGTAGCGCACGTACCTCTGCCGGTGTTGATGGTGGTGGGGCTAAAAGCCTTCCAGACGATGGTTTCACAGATATTGGTAGCAATGAACAGGGAGATACCAGACCCCAAGCCATAACCTTTTTGTAGCAACTCATCCAAGAGCAACACAATCAAACCAGCAACAAACAGCTGTGGGAAAAGAGACAAGACTAAGCAGAAACAAGAATAAACCAAGTCAAGAATTATGCATTAATCCCCCGCTTCAGTATTTTCAGCATGCTGGAGAGTGATCACTGAGGTTTTCATCTAAGTATTGTTGGTGCAGTATTTTTGCCCTCTCACGTACAAATGCCCACACACCTCACCTGCCAGCGATCTCTCTGACTTTTCCACACTGACACTAGCAAACAGATCGCTCAGTAAGCACTTTGTTATTTACTGCTTTGCTCTATGGGATAATGTCTCAGAGCTGTATCTGTGCCCTTGAGTGGGAAGTCCTGCCTCGTACTGAAGAGCAGCTATTGCTTTCAAAGTCCCCCATTTCCTGTGTTTTGCCTCAAACAGCCACTCCTCTCTTTGATAACTACCCCAACGTTCTCCTCTTTTATGTAGTATTTAGAGTTTCTCATATATAGACAGAAAAAGGATGATGCTTTAAGGCAGTAAAAATAAATAAAAGGCAACCAGACACAGGAAGATTTTTTCTTCTGGCTATACTGGATCTAACCAGCCTCAGTTACACACAAATTAGCTCATTACAAACCTGAATTATAATAAGAAGACAAATTCCAGCGCCCATTTCAGCAGTATCTCCATACATTCCAGTCATAACATACACAATGGCTTGCCCAATGGTAATAATCATCCCAAATACTAAAAGAAGAGAGAAAGCCAATCCTTTAAAAAACGCCGCTGAGACCACCTACCAAAGAAATCTCGGATCTAGCAGCACTTAGGCAGGCTGCTTTCCCAAGAATAAAAACGCGCCTGTTGGTTTTCAATGGAACAGTGCTTACGTTTCTGAGCTCCATTGAACAAGGCTCTGTCTTTTGGAGTATCACCAACTTCAATGATCTTCGCTCCAGCCAGCAGCTGCATGATCAAACCAGATGTCACAATGGGTGAGATACCTAATTCCATCAAAGTACCTGAACAGGAAGAAAAATTAATACAATTGCCATTCAGGCATGTCTCCTAAATCCTAAAGAATTATTCCCTGAGGGTATTGGGTCTGGTGAAAGGTTTCTGACCCATGAGGACCATGTTTTTGTAACACTTCAAATATGTAGATTCCAGTACAGGTATGATCAAAAAGACCATTATCTCCTCACAAAAGAGGGCTGCTGTGTCCAAATCCCTAACTTTGAAGGCAGTGTGAAAACCTACGTAGCTCTTCTCTTCAAACATTTCTGTGAGACCATGCTGACGCTGAAGGTCAGTGCGCACCGGAGCATGACTTTCGGGTGTATTGTACCAAGGAACCTTTTGCTGGAAAGCGTCTTGTCCCTGGTTGTTTACTCTGTCCGACCTTCAACTGGCCCATTTTCCAGAAGTCGAATTTCGAAGACCACAAGGAAGATGCTGCAGATCCACGGCGGCTGACAAGCCGCTGGAATCACCGAGCTTACGGTTCTTTTCCGTTCTCCACACCGAGGTGTAACTCTGCTCTCACGTGTAGGACAGCAGTGTTCTCGCAGAAAATTACGAAGAAAATCCCTGATAAACTACGTAGCCTCTGCAGACCTGTGAAGGCTCAGCAAGAGTCAGTGAGAGGGGACACACGATCCGTAGGGTGACATGGAAGATGAAAAGAAGCAGAAACAGTAAATCTGGGCCTGATCAGCCTAGAGCTTCGCTATCCTCACACCTCCCCTCTGAGAGGGGGCCCCCTCTGGGGGAAGTACCATTCCCTATTTCCCTTTTCCCACATATCAGTCCTTTACTCAGAAACTGCTTCTGGCAACGTGTACCGTAATTTATTCAGGAACTGCGAGTTACACGTGCTGGTTAACAGTACCACTGGCTGCCCCTTCCCTCTCACAGTACGAGGAAAAAGTGACTACCCATTCCTTGGCCACTGTTTTCCAGAGGTGAAGACTTAGGAGACATTTGGGATATGCAGATTTCATGGCAAAGAATCCTCCATTTTTGTAGGATCTCTTTCTATAGATCAGTATCTACCTCACGTTCTCCTTGGTGCCTTCTCCTGCATGTTGTTTTAGTTCCACTACATCCTGTGTGGCACGGCAGATTAAACTGCCTGCAACATTCAATTTGTGGCACCTTACAGACATCTCTGATCTTTTCAAGCAGTTCTTAAGACACTGGGGCTTCCCTTTTATCCCTCAATACCTCAATTTCCCGAAGAGCCTTTAACAAGTAATTTGACTTTAACAGCGGGGTTGGAGCTCCTCCCTGATTATCTGCAGCCTTCTTTTAATTTCTGCCCACCACAGTCCTCATTTCAGCTCTGATTCTTAAACATTGTAAGCACAGTGGGTTTGTTGGTTCGGTTTTGTTTTCCCTGCTACTAAGATGTAGAACGTGAAAGCATTAAAGTCATTGTTGCAACGTGGTTCCTTCGTGCTTGCATCCCGGAGCCTGCACACTGTTCGGTAATGTGTTCAATACTATGTCCTCTCTCAGGAAATCTCCATTGCTCCAACAGGCCGAAAAGCAGGAGCTCAGCAACTTTGGCCTTTACCTCACGTCCTCCAATGACATCTACTCAGTTCATTTTGGCAAAAATGACCTTTCCCACGGCTGCTTCATTGCTGTCAGAGTCTCTCTAGCCTTTTCTTGGCCACTGTTACCCTTCTGCCTGGGCAGTGGACAGCGTATTTCGGATCACATGCTGCTAGTGAGAATTTTATATGCAAATTCTGCAGTACAGGTTGAAAGAGGTAACTTATTCACTTTATTATCTTCACTGGTGTGACAAAATTTGCCATTCTTAAATAATTTGTACCTTCACGTTACAGGGTTCCACTGATTTTCTCCCTTCCAGCCAGTTTTCCAAGACACAGATCATAGAATCACAGAATGGTTTGGGTTGGAAGGGACCTTAAAGATCATCCAGTTCCAACCTCCCTGCCATGGGCAGGGACACCTTCCACTAGACCAGGTTGCTCCAAGCCTCATCCAGCCTGGCCTTGAACACTTCCAGGGATGGAGCATCCACAGCTTCTCTGGGCAACCTGTTCCAGTGCCTCACCACCCTCTCCAGGAAGAACTTCTTCCTGATATCTAATCTAAACCTCCCCACTTTCAATTTAAACCCATTACCCCTCGTCCTGTCACTACAGGCCCTTGTAAAAAGTCCCCCCCAGCTTCCTTGTAGCCCCTTCAGGTACTGGAAGGTGCTATAAGGGCCCCCCGGAGCCTTCTCTTCTCCAGGCTGAACAAGCCCAGTTCTCACAGCCCTTCATCACAGGACAGATGAGGTTAGATGAGGTCAGTGCCCTCGTTTAGAGCCAGCCATGCCAGGTCATCTTAAGTTTTAAACTTCTAGCATTACTTGTAAGTCTTCTTACACAATGGGTTGGGATCCACTTGCTAAACTGTAAGCCTCGTCATCTCTGCCCGTGCCTTTCCCACCTATAAAATTACTCACCCATAACGTTGCCAAAATATTAGGAGGCATAACCAACTCGCACTCGTAAGGGATTTTCTAGTCAACACTCTCACACTGCACATCAGTGCTGTTCCTGCGTGGTGGGGCCGAAGATGTCCTGTCCCATACATGCTCTACAATTCAAAACAGAATCATCCCAAAGCCTGAGTATCGAGCTTAATTTCATCTGCACGTCCAAGTGAAGCCCCACAGCCGAGATGAAGTACTCCTCAAGTACCACTCAGCTGTAATTACGTCTGTGTTACGCCCTTCACAAGGCGGTTCAACGTGACACCTGGGCTGTACGAAATGTAAGAGCCAACCGCTTCTCTCCTGGTCTGTTTATACTGCTACAAAACAGAGAATAAGCCGCTCACCTCTGTTTGACGCCAGAATGACTCGCATCCAATAGAACGGATCCGCGGAGTCTGACGACATGATTCCAAACAAAGGTATCTGTCAGGGCACACAGCGGCATTAAGCAGATATACAGAGACAGCTTGCATCAATCCAAGTATCTTAACGTGTAACGATTCAACTGTCCCACTGCTTAATATTGTTTATTCCAACTCTTTTTTTGCTTAAACCAGAGCATACAACAACAGACATACCGACACCACCTACTTCGATCCTCCAACATGGGTACAACTCAGAGGACTGAACTATGTTACTGAGACCCTTCCACAGGAAAAAGCAGAAACCCCCGGCAGGAGGAGTCAGTAAGCCATATTGCTGAAGCTGAACACGTAAATGCCTGACATCCACAATTTTGGAGTACTACAACTCCCCAGAAGAACTGAAAAAGCATAAATTAAACAGGTTAGCCCCCCAAATCATTAGCAGACCAGGCAAAGGTATCAGATGATATTCCATGACTCATTTCAACAATCTTTTGGCTTTTTTTTTTTTTTAAATTCAAGGGAAATTTGTAGAAAAAATCCTTCCCTTGTAGCAAAACATCTTCCAGAAGCCAGGAGAAAGCAAGTTTGTTTTTTTTTTTGTTGTTGTTGTTGTTTTTTTAAAAACAGTCCTAAACAGAATTTTTTTTCAGTCCAAATTAAAGATACAGCATCAACGGTGTAAGCATCTTCCTCCAGCAAGTTTAAGTATTCAAATCCTGCAGTTGGGAATGTATTTTAAAACATCCCCTGTGGAACCATGCAAGTTAGCCAAGTTTATACAAAACCTCCAACATCCCCTACGTCAGTACTGAAGGATTTTGAGCTCTTCAAAACTCTTAACCACAAAACCAGCAGACTAGAAACGCACGCAGTCTTACAGATTAATTCCTGAAAACCCTGGTCTGCACCGATTTCCTTATCCAACCACTATCCTCTTTTGCAGAGACTCAAATCTCAGATAGGCATACATCCAGCAGCTAGGAGACACAGAGGAAGTACATGTTCTTCTAGCTCTAGTACCAGCCCTGCCTCCTCCATCCAAAACGTAGATACAGGAGCTGGGGTTTTGCCATTCAACAGTCCTTTGGAGCTGTAAACAACAACTATTAAACAACTGCTCCGGAGTCAGGAATGGGTACGTTCATAAATATAACCTAAAATGCCTGATTCTGAAGACGTACGGTTCATTTGAAATCTTCCAAAAGGTCTGCAAGTTCTAAAAAATATATATCAAGTGATACATGGATTCTTACTTTCTGCAACACCCAAGTGTTTAAAAAAGCCCAACCAAAGAAAACACCACCCGTTTACAAGCCAAGTACAGGTCCTAGGGGCTCCTGCAACCGTGAGTAATAAAGAGCACATAAAGGGTTACAAAGACGTGTGGTTTGGAGGGGTTTTAGCTAAACACTGTTGTTGGCATATTCACCAAAAGACAGTGTCAGCTTCAACACCTCAGAAACATTTGTCTGCAGTCTCTGCAACCTGTCAGCTTGTTCAAGAGGAATCAGGTAAAAGCAGGCACTTGGGGTCACTTGTTACCGCTACAACAGAGTGTAAAGAATGCGTAACACTGTGCGGTTCGCTTAGACTACACCGTGAGAAATTGGCTTGGCTGCTCACCCTGCAGCCTGCATCATCATTTGACAGAACCCTTCATAAAACACGAAAACACACGATGAATTTTGGGCTAAATGGAAAGCATTACTTTCTGAAAACTGGTATAATCGGTAATAAAGACGATGTCAGAGAATCAGGCTTCTTTAAATGCTTAACCGTAAGCATACATGACTGAAACGGTCAGGTCAGCAAGGAACAAGAACTTCTCACGCTTACAGCATCCTATTTTATACATATGGAATGCGTATTTTCTGGAACACAGAAGGCATCAATACCCACCTGGCAGCATACTAAGAAGATGAAGAGCGTGATAGCCGTCCACAGCACCTTCTCTCTGAACTGGATCTACAGAACACATTGTACAGATTAATGTCTCCATTGTACATTCTTCCCCCTACTCGCTCGTTAGTACTAAATGCTGTGCCATTCAGAATTAAATGCAAAGATGCTGAACAAGAAGGCATCTCTTCTCATTAGAACTGACTTTTCACAAGATTTCAGTTTTTAGAGAGAGTGTCACGTCAAAGGAAAAACGTACGTGGAATCTGGCAGACAGCGTGGCCGACATTCAGCGAGTCAAGTGTATTTTGTGTGTCGCGTTCTAACACCGTGAGTATTTACAGAAAAGCGATAGTATGGCTGGAAACATGGACACACCATAACAAACATGAAAGTTTAATGCAAAAAACCTTATCTTCAGAGATTAGTGCTCCAGGCTCCAACAGACCGGAGGCCCTGCTTTGTAAGGCTGGAAGTTATTAAACTAAAGCACTGTAAAGTTTTTAAACAGACGTAACTGCTGTAAAAACAAGTAATAAAAACCAGAAGAACCAGAACTTTTGGATACCAATTTAAAACCTTTGGAATTAAGTTCTTCAAAGGGTGTTAGAAGAAGCTTAAGTTCACCATTATGTTCGCAGACCACAAAATAAATTCTAAAGACTTCTTTTTCCCTCCAAAATGTTTTTATCGATGCAGATTATATATCACTTCAGAAAGAACGTCAGGTCAACGATCATCAGTCACTTACGCATCGAAGACAATCTCAGGGTCAAAACATTTGAGGCAATTCTAACCAGTGCCAGGTACAAAAAGCGAAGAACCACAAGATTTAAGTTTGAACCAGAGGATTACTCAAAGCATGAGACAGAAAGAGATGCGTTTGAAGAGCCCAGAGAGCGCTGAGATGCAGTGTTACGTTCAAGTTCCCACCTCTCCTCCACGGACCATAAACATGAGGATAACCGTGGTCACTGTAGGCAAGAGTACAGCAGCTACTAGAACGCGACATGAACTACCACGCCAGAGAGAGCACAGAAATCCTAGCTTTCTGCCTCCAGCCACTGAATCTGCCTGTAGAGGAGTAACAGGAGAAAGGATTAGTGCCTGGGCTTATAGTCACTGAGCACCCACAAGTGAGAGACTACAAACCAGTGCAGCAGCGCAGCACCTCGAGCAAAGGAAAACCCAGAAGTAGCCTGTGTCTTTGGAAGTGAAATCATGCACTTCCTCAGAAAACAAAGTAATCCCAGTAATTTAACTTACTTACTGATACTGCCTCACTCTTTTACAAGAGGCCAGCTGCTGAAAATGCTTACAGTACAAAACTTAAAAAAAGAAAAATTGTGACAGCAGCAAATAAATTCAAACCGTATCTTGTGGTAGACTTCACGCAGCGCTGACCCACTTTACCAAGCGCCGTTCGAATTCTGCAATTCGGATTTTAAGTACAGACTTGAAAAAGAACAACCCTTAACCAAGTTCTCCCTGCAGCCCCCAGCTAACCCTAGCTTCCCAGGCACCATTCAAGCTCTACCTCTGCTCTGGCGCTCTCTAACTGTGTGAGCACGAGCATCAGAGAAATTCTGCGTCACCCAAATCACAGTTATTCACAAGGAAAACAGCCTCCATGATTCAAAACACAAGAAAAAAAAAAAAGAAAAAGGAGGCATCCAAATCCACATGCCAGGAACAGCATAATTGAGGCCAGTACCAAAACAGTCCAGCCGCAAGCGGTAACGAGCACGGGGACATTTCATCGTTGGAGCAGACTCACTGGGACATTTTATTCCTTTGACGTTTTTCTTAATAGCTGTGAAAACGAAGCGACTTGAGCATTAGCTTCTCCGCGTCCTGAACTACATGTTCCACTTGCAACCTCTGTGCACATGAGGGAAATACAAACCCCTACTTTTAACTACAAGTGTAGCAACTGCTTCTGTTCATCAAGCTGGCCACAAAACAACAGCAAACACGCCCTGGTAACAGAAAAAGCCAATTTTCCTCAGCAACAACAACGGCAAAGTGATTCAACGAGAGCCCAGCTGACTCCAAACTTCATCTTTCGATACAGGTGTAAAGAAAATAGGTTTCGTTTTCTGTGTTGTTGTCTTCATTTCTTGCTATGGTCTTACCCAATCCACTAAAACCATTACTAGTGACGTCTGCCAGCGACAGCCCCCGAGAAAACAGTGACAACGAATTGCAGCTACACAGAACGACCTAGGTCACTTGATAAACTACACACAGGCAAGGAACGCAACTTAAAGTGGTGAAAGGGCTCTTCAGTCGAGGAAACGTGTTCCAAATCACCTTCTCAACTCGAATTTGTACAGAGCTGGCGACTGGCAGTCATTGCCCAGACAGCGACCTAGATAGCAATGAAGACAAAGTGACCCAGATAGAGAGGACAGGAATCCTGGCACCTCTCTGGGCATCCTTCAGCTGCTGATAGAGGACACAGACAGATCAAGCCTCTCTTCCTCTCTGGCAAACTGAAAGGGAGGAGGAAGAGAAAAATCGCAACTGCCAATGAGCGTTACAGAAACATCGCTACCTGTAGATCTGCCTCAGCTTCCTCTGCCCAACCAAGACTAGTTGGACGTAACCAACTCATCACAGACGTGCTGTAAACCAGCACCAGGAGACTGCACTAAGGTTCGCAGCTGCAGAAACAAAGATGGGTACCTTCCACCCAGATCTTGTGCATCCAACTGGCTCTGGAGATGCCTTCATCTGACCTAAATGATTTGCTTGGAAACCTATCCCAAGATGGAAAGGAACAAGGAAAAACAGGTGGAGTAAAGAGCTCCATTTATTGGGAGATAAATCCCAATCTTTTAAAAAAATCAACTCCAGAGGGGAATAATGAGGAGCTTTTACTGGATCTTCTCCACTCAATCCAGCAGGCTCAGCTATGGTTACTGGCACAAACACCTCTGCACTCAGTCCCAGCCTTCGGGAACCTCTCATCAACCAAAGAGGATTCTCTCGCATGGGTCACGTCCCAGCGATGCACTGCCTTGTCAGAACATGAAAATCAATACTTAGCTCTTACGGAGTTGTCACGCCAGTCACGACAATGAGTATCAGGTGAATTTCTTACTCAATTAGAACCTTTGTCACCCCGGTAACAAAGGCACCTAGGTGCTTGCTTGAGTCTTGGAACTGAAGAACGGGGTTTCTCTTTTTGAAAAGGCAGGTCTTGCTCTGGTCTGCAGAAATTAGCTAATTTTGATCTAGAAATGAGCCGAGAAACGGAAGGAGTTTCTAGGCCTAGGGAAGCGGAGAGCTCAGCCGTAAATAACTCCATTCTCTGTGTTCAGAACAAAGAAAAGTGTCACATCCAGAAGGTGAACAGGGAGCAATTACCTGGACTGCATCACCGATCACTTTCCCCCTTCATCAAGGTGAATCACAGCTACAGGAGTAGAAAGTATCTTGTGGGAAAGGAGTAACTGAATTTGTGGTTCATAAACTGCAGTGCAAGCCTCTTCAAGGTAACACATACGCCAGGTCAAAGCCCAGAGCCGTGACCATTACGCCAAGCCAAGTGGTATCCGGGGGGGGAAAAAAAAAGACTGAAAACTCAGTTCTAGTATATTAAAATAGATCAAGTCCTATGGAGCTGAAACTAAACTTAGTCTAGACATGAGACTTTTCTAGAAGGCTGTAAAGAATTCACCATCATGGCAATCTTTTAACAGGAATTCCCTCTCCTCCAAAGGGCACATCCTGCATTTATTGCTGTGTTCTATTATATTTATACATGGAATATAGTAATACATCCACATTTATATTGAATATCACAATGTTCTCTTATCTGTGAACCAACAGAAGTAAGAACATAATGTGGCACTCACTTTTCTTTCGGGTTTCTGGATTTCAGGTAACACCGCACAGAATGGCTTAATAACTTCTAAAAATTTTACTGTTCCAGAAAACAAACACACACACACAAAAAAAAAAGAGAGAAAAACATATTAATGAACCTTTAGGAATTTATAAAGCTTCATAAAAATTTAACTGCCAGGAGAAAAAGTAACAGTTTGTAAATGAATTATTTCAACAACACACACTCTAACTGATGTCTGAAAACTAACGCCCTCTTCTTAAAACAGTTGAGCACAGGGTGAAGAAGTTAAAGAGAATTCTTGTTCTCAGCAGATCTGGCCCACTCTTTTCTCCACAGCCGGAATCCCTTCAGATGAGCAGCAGCACTGTAACGTCACCAGAAGTGAACCAAATTGTATTCCATCTAAAAATAAGTGACCTGGTATCAGTCTGCGCTAGTTAAACACAGAAGCAAAGAATACGGACATCAAAACGTGTCCATGTAGGGATTAGTACCTTGCCTTTTACACAAGTATTTAGCTGAGAAAATAATTCAGTCGATAAAATACATTTAGAAATTGTAAACTAAATCACTGCAACGCTTATTCTGATACATGTCTCTTTGTAGAATCAGAGAATGATTTGAGTTGGAAGGGACCTTAAAGACCATCTAGTTCCAACCCCCCTGCCATGGGCAGGGACACCTTCCACTAGACCAGGTTGCTCAAAGCCTCATCCAGCCTGGCCTTGAACACTTCCAGGGATGGGGCATCCACAGCTGCTCCTTTCAAAACACTGAAAAGCTCAACAGTTTGAGGTTGTCTCCTGGGAAAAAAACAATGAACTGAAAGCAGGTGTGCTTGGTGGGCAGTTTGTCCTCCAAAACCCGTACGCTATTCCCAGCCGCACCGCGCTGGGACAGCTGTACAAATCAGCACCCCCAGTGAAGGCATTCAGCACACGGCAGGGCGAGGCACCCGGGGGTGGAAAGGCCGGGTTCACTGTCACACTCCGCTATGACACGTTCCTTTATTGACCCCAAGCTCCCAGACAGCCCATCAGCAGACGCGTCTCGCTCCACCGCAGGCAGCGCGGCCCCCACGGTAAAACACGGAAGCCAGCGGGAGCACACCTCACGCAGCCGAAGGCGGCGCCCGGCGGGGGCTGG